AAGTGAAAAAAAAGAGAGGGGGGGGGGGGCAATCTTGCTGGCCAAGGAACTGGACAAAGAGTTCAGGTGAAGGAAGAAAGAAAGGTTTACCAAATCCCATTATTTTAACAAAGATAGACATTTGTCTATGTTGGCATTGAACAGTCAAAGTTCAGGAGGAACGAGGGCCCCACCCATAAGATTCCTTATAATTTATATCCCCACTATATAATCAAATCTTATATATAACATAATATATAAATGTTTTGAATATCTTGTTTGGTTTATGATAGTAAAAGGCCTAGAGAGAGAGAGCGAAGAGAGATGAATCATGAAGGTGTTTACTCCAGGTTCACCCTCTCGTACCCATTTCTTTCCCTTTCTTCTTTCGACGGTGTCATGACCCACCAATTTTTCTTTTTGTCCCCATCAAACTCTCTTTTTTTTTGGAAATTTTGCTTACATTTTAATTTAATATATATATATATATATATTGGATTTTATATATAACTAATTCAACGACAATCTATCCTATTAGAATTCTTAAATTGTATTTGAGCAAAAAAACGATTTTTTTTTATGAATCGTTAATTTTATAAATAATCGAAACATTACAAAAGAAAGTTTTCAAATCCGGCAACCAACCGTTACAAATAACCCATGATGATGGAAACTAGAGACCTTTAACAAACAAAGGAGAGACAAGCATACAAACATCAACTTAATAACGAGTCATGATGCAGTCAAGCCTGTGTAGTGACCAATCCTCAAGCAAGCTAGAGAGGGTAGCCGGAGTAGAGCTAATCAGAGAGAGAATACACATACGTACCATCTGCCCAAACTTGTAGATAGATTCCTCTACATTAGAAGATTTGTTCCTGAATATCCAGGAGTTCCTTTCAGTCCAAATCAGGTAAACAACAGCTTGGAGAATAATCTTTGCCAGAATGCAGCGGTTCCGCGTGCGATCGTGACTTTGGTCGGCAACCCAAAGAATGCAGGCATCAAGATCAAGAGGGGGAGTCCGCCATACCTTAGCGGCAAAATAGTCCCAGACCTGTAGGCTATAGTTGCAGCTGAAGAAAATGTGGCGATGTGGCTCATCCTCCACTTGGCATAAAGGGCAAATGGTGACGGTGGTCAGTCTCCATCAGGAAAGTCTGTCGCGTGTCGGAAGGCATTGATGAAATGCCAACCATTGGATAAATGCAAACCTTGGAACTCCATGACAGAACCAAACCAAAACGTACCAAGGAACTCTCGAAGCAGAACATCGCACCTGATTTCACGTGTGCCTTGCTGAAAAAGAGCAACCAAATGTTGCCCGGCGCCTTCTTCCATTCGAAAATATCATTTCCTCTAGTTTTGGAGGGAAGTTGAGTGTCGACAAGGGTGATAAGGAGCTGGAGACCACGGTATGTCCTTGCCCCTGCCAACTGCCATCCATCTTCGCTCACCACGTCAGCAACCCTAGCATGTCTAGGTATACCCAAGCTCCTTGGACCATTTTCACCGACAAAGTCGATGATAGGTCCAAGGGAAGACCATCCATCGAAACCAAAAAGAGGCCAATTGACTATCTCCATAGGAGCAACGGATGAAAGGACGAACCTGATTTTTTAGGAGTAGCAGTTTCCGTAGATTCCAAGAGAAAGTGGATGATGGTTTTGTGTCCCAATACCCCCTTCCCTTGAAAATGTTCTCCTTTAACCAAGCCACCCACCAACTCGAGCCTGAAAATAGTGTTGAACTCCTCGAGACTGCGGATTCCAAGACCGCCCTCTTGCTTTGGTTTACAAATCGCTTCCCAAGCAACTCTGGAAGCCCCATTTGAGTTCCCTCCATTGTTCTATAGGAACTGTGAACAAATTCCATCAATCTCGTTTAGGATACCTTTTGGAATTAGGAAGGTTTGTGCCCATGCATTCACCATCCCATATATAACCGACGAGACCATTTGAATTCTTCCGCATATGATAGAAACTTCGATGTCCAGGAATTGATTTTCCGGCGGATCCGGTCGATAAGAGGCCGATAATCTAGTTTGGACAGCTTCCACGGGCTCAAGGGTAATCCCAAGTATGTCATTGGCAGAGTACCTAAACGGATCCCCGCCAATCCACTCAACGTAGCCGCTTCTCCACTGTTGACTCCCCTAAGGAAAAGCTCAGACTAATCTGTATTCATGGATAGGCCAGAGCGTTCAGCAAACAAACCCAGCAAATGAGAAATCTTCGTCAGAGAGTTCCAATCTCCTTTACTGAAAATAATTAGGTCATCGGCAAAGACTAGGTGGGTGAGCATCGGGGAAGTGCACTTTTTGTGTAACAAAAATCTTCGTACAGCGGCTGAGTGGTCGAGTAGCTTGGTGAGTGATTCCATGGATAGGATAAATAAGTAGGGGGATAGTGGATCCCCTTGCCTTAACCCTCGTTTGCTTGGAAAGAAACCTGCCATTTCGACATTAACCGAGATGGAAAATTTGGGAGAAGTAATACACTCACAAATCCATCCTATGAAGATGGGAGGGAAAGCCATAGTCCGTAGGGTAGCAAGGATGAAGTCCCAACTCAGTGAGTCAAATGCCTTGCGAATGTCCACTTTAAGAAGAGCGTTCTTACCATCTGTGCTTTTGTGATAGTCACGGACCAACTTCGTGGCCAACATCACATGTTCCATGAGAAGCCTTCCTTTTTGAAAAGCGACTTGATTCCGAGAAATACAATTTTGGATAATCAGTTTCAGCCGGTTTGCTATAATCTTCGAAATCTCTTGTACAAAAAGTTACAACAACTGATTGGGCAGAAATCAGTTAACCTATCTGCCCCCGACTTTTTTGGAATCAGCGCAATAGATGTTGCATTTAGCTCCCTCAGAAGTTTTCCTAACCGAAAAAATTTCTGCAGTCTTGACAAATCCGTTTCCAACCGTTTCCCAAGCCGAAACAAAGAACTCCTTAGTGAAACCATCTGGCTCGAGGCATTTGTTTTCATGCATGGAGAGGAAAACTCTCTTAACCTCCTCTGTCGTGACCTCCTCGGTCAACTTGGTTTGCGTGGCGAGTGGGCACCTGAAAGAGATGAGGTTTTCAATCCATCCCTGAGTGTCCCTATGTGACCGATTGCTAGCATTACCCAACAAGTCTGAGTAGAAGGCTACAACATGCTCCTTTATTACACCAGGATCGGATACTCTCTCCCTTTGTGAGTCAATCAAGTAGTGAATTGAATTCCTTGTTGATCTGGCCACTGCTGTTTTGTGAAAAAACCGTGTGTTCCGATCCCCAAGCTTCAACCAATTTAGCCTAGATTTTTGCCGATAAAATCGATCATCGGCATCAAGGAGTATGTGCCATGATCTTCGCAGCCGAGTTTCCTCTTGCGCCACATCAGGGGACAGGGAAGTAAGGAGTCGACGTTGTGCCTCCTCCAACCTTTCCTCTATCTCTTTTGTTCTCTTGGAGAGTTGACTGAAATGGGTAGAATTCAGCCGTCTCAACGGGTGTTTAAGCCGTTTGAGGGCCAGACAAAACCGGAATTGGCTGGAGCCAATTATCTCATTGTGAGTCTAACCCTCCCTGACTACCTGTAAAAAATCCGGGTGAAGGGAAATGTGGTGGAAGTAATTAAAAGGTCTTCTAACTTGTGGTAATGTCGAGGGAAATCGGACTATGCTGGGTGCATGATTAGAGGGCCCCGGAGAGAGCAGGTGTAGCTCCTAGGGAAATGGTCGAATCAATGCCCGTTGATAAGCACTCTGTCCAGTTTTATCGCAAGGGGATCGACTTGGTGGTTGTTCCACCAAGAGAATTTAGCCCCTCTTGTCTCCATGTCAAAGATCCATGTGTTCTGAACACAGTCTCTGAACTCCTCCATGCCTACAGTATTAGTAGCCGGGTTCGGGAAGTTAGAGCGTTCCTATTGAGAGTATCTGATTGAAGTCTCCCATGATCACCCATGGAGATGAGGATAATAGGGAATACATCGCTAGCTACTGCAATTCCATCCATAGGCTCCAACGTTCGAGATATGAGTTCTTTGCATAGATGAAAGTGACGGTGAATCTGATCTCGCAATGGGAAATCTGAACTCCATAAGTGATAGCTTGCACAGAGAATTGGTAGAAAGTGACTTGTACTGCAGGGTCCCAGACCACATAAATTCTGCCATGGTCATCAGCACAGTGGTTGTTGCGGTGTTTCCAACACGAAGATATACCAGATTCAATCCTCGTAACATTTCTTGTTTGTATATGTATCTTTAAAAAGGCTCCTAGAAGAGGTCGGTGTCTCAAAATCCATTCCTTTGAAGCATAACGCTTATTGCGGCCGTTAAGACCCCTTATATTCCATCCAAAAATCCATTCCTTTATACTGGATTTGGAAGCATAAATTGGATTATGGTTCGCGAGTTGAGTTAGTAAACCCTAATTTAACATAAACGCAAATCTGTTTTTTTGCGTGGGTTTTAAATCTTCCAAACCTAAATAAATTTAGGTTTTATATATATTTTTTAAATTATTTTTAATTTTCATTGTTGTTTTGTTAGATTTTATTTATCATTTATATGCATTTTTATAGATGTTAAAGATAAAAATGATATTTAAATCTAAAATGGTATTTCGATTTTAAAAATATATGAACACTTAAATAGAATCTGATATCGTATTTTACATTGTATTTAAATTGGTGGATTATAATTTTTTACACGACTTGTATTTGATTTTCTTTTTTCTATTATTAGAGAATATTTAGATAATATTTTTTGTTAGTATTTGTTACGTCAATATAACAAACTATTTCTGTATTTTATTCCTTTTACCCTACTTCTTATATAGACAATCACATATACTCACACCATTATAATCACCAATATAAACACCAATACATATAATAGTTTGTTATATTGATGTAACAAATACTAACAGAAAATATTCTCTAAATATTCTCTAATATCTATTATGTTTGTATTGAGTATAATTATGATTTTATCTTACATATTATTTTAAAATCTAAATTCAAATCTTTTTAAAATTTACTTGAGTATTTGTGTTGAATTCGAAGACTGATTTGTTTGGTTTGCGAGCTCGACGAGTTGAGTTATGTTTGAGTTTTTTTTAAATGTTTTAAAGAATGAGTTGGACCCAAATTATCAACTTAGTTTTAATGTGTATAAATATTATATTTCTGTCATGCAATTGTTTGGTTGTCAATAGAATTTGGAATCAAAATTCAGAGCATTAAATAAATCCAATTAATAACATTTAAATTAATTTCTCGCCTATGAGGTGAAATTCTAATTTTTAATCATGTATGTGAAGAAGTCGTCGATATTTATTTCCTCCGTTTCAAAATATTTATTGTATTAGATTATTTCATATGTTTCAAAATATTTATCATCTACATTTTCAAGATATTTTTTAATAATTTTCAATTTTATTCCAATCAAATTCCAAAAAATTATTAATTATAATATTGTTTTTATTGTCAATAAAATATTAAATAAGGGTATATATAATTTTTTTTCTCTTTTTTTTTTAAATGTTAAATAATCTATAACTACAAATATTTTGAAACGGAGTATGTATATTTTTTTGGTCAAATGATATTTACATATTGCTTTAAATTAACTGTATTTTACTACAAACTCGAAGTTTTAAAATAATCTTGAGAGACAAAATAAATATGAATAAAAGGGGAAATAGCCTAATTATCTAAAATATCAAGGACTAGAGATTGAAAAACTATTAATTGCAAAAAGGACCTTAATTTCGTCAGTTAATCACTTCTAAATTTCTAATACACGTACCGGTATTTATTTTGGTAAATTTCCAAAAAAATTCATTATCATAAACTTTATTTATTTAAAATGTTCATATTCATATTGAATTTGAAATTTTCTTTTCTAAAAAATTATTTAAAATTTAATTTTTTAACAAAATTTGTGAATTAATTTTGACACTTACAATGGTTATCGTGGCGCTTACGAATATTTTACATTGTATTTAAATTGGTGGATTATAATTTTTTACACGACTTGTATTTGATTTTCTTTTTTCTATTATTAGAGAATATTTAGATAATATTTTTTGTTAGTATTTGTTACGTCAATATAACAAACTATTTCTGTATTTTATTCCTTTTACCCTACTTCTTATATATTATAGACAATCGCATATACTCACACCATTATAATCACCAATATAAACACCAATACATATAATAGTTTGTTATATTGATGTAACAAATACTAACAGAAAATATTCTCTAAATATTCTCTAATATCTATTATGTTTGTATTGAGTATAATTATGATTTTATCTTACATATTATTTTAAAATCTAAATTCAAATCTTTTTAAAATTTACTTGAGTATTTGTGTTGAATTCGAAGACTGATTTGTTTGGTTTGCGAGCTCGACGAGTTGAGTTATGTTTGAGTTTTTTTTAAATGTTTTAAAGAATGAGTTGGACCCAAATTATCAACTTAGTTTTAATGTGTATAAATATTATATTTCTGTCATGCAATTGTTTGGTTGTCAATAGAATTTGGAATCAAAATTCAGAGCATTAAATAAATCCAATTAATAACATTTAAATTAATTTCTCGCCTATGAGGTGAAATTCTAATTTTTAATCATGTATGTGAAGAAGTCGTCGATATTTATTTCCTCCGTTTCAAAATATTTATTGTATTAGATTATTTCATATGTTTCAAAATATTTATCATCTACATTTTCAAGATATTTTTTAATAATTTTCAATTTTATTCCAATCAAATTCCAAAAAATTATTAATTATAATATTGTTTTTATTGTCAATAAAATATTAAATAAGGGTATATATAATTTTTTTTCTCTTTTTTTTTTAAATGTTAAATAATCTATAACTACAAATATTTTGAAACGGAGTATGTATATTTTTTTGGTCAAATGATATTTACATATTGCTTTAAATTAACTGTATTTTACTACAAACTCGAAGTTTTAAAATAATCTTGAGAGACAAAATAAATATGAATAAAAGGGGAAATAGCCTAATTATCTAAAATATCAAGGACTAGAGATTGAAAAACTATTAATTGCAAAAAGGACCTTAATTTCGTCAGTTAATCACTTCTAAATTTCTAATACACGTACCGGTATTTATTTTGGTAAATTTCCAAAAAAATTCATTATCATAAACTTTATTTATTTAAAATGTTCATATTCATATTGAATTTGAAATTTTCTTTTCTAAAAAATTATTTAAAATTTAATTTTTTAACAAAATTTGTGAATTAATTTTGACACTTACAATGGTTATCGTGGCGCTTACGATATATATATGATGCAGCGATTCAAGTTTTTAACATTCCTACCACAAGTCAACGTCTATCCCACTTGCTCGATCGAAGAACCCTAATCGCAAATCCATAACTTTCTGTATTCCTCGCAATCACGGAGTTCCTGGTTTTTGTTGTCGGAGATCGAACTTTTGATTGCGGAACCTTTTTCGTTTTCTGTCGGAATCAAGGATGAAAGACGGCAAATCAGCAAAGTTGAATCACCAGCAGCATAATCACCAGAACCTTCACTTGTCTCCGTCGAAACTTGCGAAATTGTTCGATCCTGATGCTTCATGGGACAAGGTATTCTCGCAATGTCGATTCTCGTTTGACCTAGCGTCGTTCCTTATATTGTGACTTTTTTGCCTTCGAGCAGTTCGCAGATTCTAGTAATTGATGGTTGATCTTAGTGAACTCGTTCCCCAACTATGTTCAAATCAAATCAATTCCATGGAAAAGGCGAACACTTTGCTCGAATAAAAAATATAGACCATCTGCAAATGGCAGAAGATACCCTTTTGAATCGGGATGTCGCGTGAGCTGTCCATTAGATTGTCGGAAACCCTTTGCTTCTCCATAGGTTTGGTTCTATTGGAATTGTGGATACAAAATTCATGCTGGGTTTAGGACGTGTTAGATTAACTGATTCTTGATCGTGAATAGAATGTGCGGAATCAAGGGTTGTTGATGGTGCAGGATCAATTGGGAGATGTGTTGCATTGGATTCGGCAAGTGTTGGGATTGATCTGCGGATTGATATGGGGAGCCATACCTCTGGTTGGAGGCATATGGATCCTTGCGTAAGTGAAACTTCTTGATCCTTCTGAATCTGTTTTTATCAAGTTTCTTGGTGTTGTAGTTAATCTATATATCGATTACTGAATTCAGCTCCGGTTTGTTCTTGGATGCTCATATATTTCTAAATCAATGGTGAATGCTTGTTGTCGGCAAGTCATAGTAGATTCAGTGTAGGGTGGTCCGTTTGTTTGTTCCTTCAGCTTGTTATGAGTCTTCTGAGTAGAGTGAGAGCTTATTGCCGTTCTCTTTGGATTCTGCAGATTCGTATAAGAAGATTTGAACGCTGCAATAGATCTGATCCATTAAACCTTATAAGATTGCACACATTATTGTTTTTAACTTTTGAATGGTATTTGATAGAACTTAGGGTTCTATCGACAAGTTTTACGCATTTGGGGAGTTTGTGGATCCCTGAATGTGATCGGAGATACATTCAACCTCCCAATGTTCTGATCAAAGCTCTGTTGATAGCTTTATTGGATGAAGAACTCGTCCTCTTATAGAGGACTACCCGGCCAAAATGGTGGCTGGCCAATTCTCAGCCATCTTAGGATGAAACCCCCAAGGTTATAATGTCTAGATCTGGCTTCTGTTCTGTACAACTTGACTGCTATTTCGGGTAATGCTAACATGAAGTAAAGCAAACCATGCTTTTGCATTTGAGTGAAATCAAACTTGTTCTCTAGTGTTGGGAGGAACATAATGTCTGATGTTGTGAATGAGAAAATCTGGTTGCTTGGTTACAATGTCCAGGAACCGAGTTCCATGCAACCGGACTACTGCTTGATTATTGCTTACAGGGTTTGTCATTTCGGGTTTCGGTTATTTTGGTTGTAGAAAAATTATAACTATCCTGTTTTTATATGGGATTCGGTATTGGTTTCAGGTGTCCGATTTTTGTTGCGTTTGGCAAAAAATATTTCGATATTTTTTTTTGTTATTTTTTATATTTCGTCTTAGAGAAACCATTCTCATTTGTTTTTTATATCGAATTCAATTCTGTATATTATTTGGTTCGGTTATATAACACAAAAATAAAATGGCCACCCCTAATTTGCTCACATGGAGAGTTTTTCTATATAATTTGCAGATTCTTGGCAATATCGTCAGGGATAGTGTACGGATACTACGCGATGATTCTAAAAGTGGATGAAGAAGATTTCGGAGGCCATACGGCCTTGCTCCAGGATGGCCTATTCGCATCTTTGACTCTCTTTCTGGTGACACTCTCTTCTTCGTCTTAAAGGCACACCCACTCATGTCACCTTTTTTACTTATTTATTTACTATTTTTCTTTTACCGTGTCTGTTAAAATCTTTCAGCTCGTGTGGATTCTTGTCTATAGCTTGGCACACTTCTGATAAAAGTTACCAACCATGTGACCAATGCCAAAGGAGATCATCATGAGCCATTCTTTTGCCAGTTGCTACTGACAGTATGTGTTATTAGTACGGCGACTGATGATCTATGTATGTTTTTGTCTACATCGTTGTAATAATCTTTTTCCTATCTTCTAAAATTTCTTGGCCACAAACGCTTCATTCGACGATACAATGCTAAATTCCATGGCTAATGCTTTTGACGAGCTTGAAACATTTTACTCAGCGTGTCAGAGTCTCTCAAAACGCTAAAAATTACGTTTAAAAACGCAAACGCAACAGAATGAAGAAAGTCCTACAACAAAACACTAAGACAGATGATAACCTGTGTGGAGTCTGAGTGAGTATCCATCCCCCCATCAAGATTTCTGGCCTGACCAAAAGAACAAAAGTCAACTTTTTAACTCACATTACCAGTGGATCAAACACAGCTATGGCGTAGTTCACAGCAGATGCAACCAATAGCGTCGTTCAAAACGTTTGTTTGCTTACCATTACGCGTAGTCGCCATAGAGAAGGCGGTAGTCCAGTCTCGGGCGATGGATTCGGGAACCTTTTCATCACTGGCAGTGAAGGGAGTCCAACTGTATTCTTCTTCCGAGTCGTTTGTCAAAACCCAGCTTACCTTCTCCGGTGGATTATGAAAGTCAAAGCTAAATGGCGTTTCTTTGGCTTTCTTGGCTGATCTGTTGCTTATTCCTTGGCCTTTTGAATGCTGCTAAATACAATAATTTTGGCTTTGTTCTTACAGTTGGACATCAAGAACAACATGATCTGGGAAGTGGGTTTAGGCAACTTCTGATCACTGGTTTAGTGTGCGTGTGGATGCGTGAGAGAGAGAGAGAGATGTATGTTTCAGACTTACATCTGATTGAGCATCGGAGATCTCAGATTTTTTGGCGCTCTTTTTAGGTGCTCCTTTTTCCAAGTAGTACATGACCTCGGTCTTGGACCTGAACTTGCGTCCTGTACCTGGTTCATGGTAGTACTGCAATGGCGGAAAAAAGAAACCACTTTTATCACAATTATGTTTTCGTAATGCCAAACACTATTCAGCTTACTATATTTTCAGCAAAAGAGTAGCATGACAAGCTCACACCACGGAAAACCCTAAATGGATTCCGCCGGAACATGATGAATTTAAATACTGGATGCCTTACAATGAATCATGGTAATAAGGTTTAGGCCCTAACTCCACCACAAAAGCTAGAGTGGAGGTTTGTCCCTCCTTATATATTGGCCCCAAATCCCTCTCTTTTTTCAATGTGGGACACTTATCACATCGATGCAAACTTCCAAAAGTAGGACATATCCTGAAGTATTTACGCGAATATTCTATGCCAGGATTTTCAAAACATAAATATTAAATTCAGATATTGTCACAGCAATGCAATGTATTACTACCAATCCATACTACAGTACAGAGCATGAAACACCATATCCATATTATTAAAACATTACCATCATAGAAACATCTAATTGTCTATGGTGACTGAACCAAACAAAGCTCAGCAAAGACTGCATAACGAACCATATCAATTGACAAGAATCAACTCTATAGCTTCTATATAGCAATTGTATGCTTTCCACCGCAATATATCCCCCCAAACTTACGCTAAGGTATCGTTAGTCATCGCACACATATGCAACGTACAATTTCCAGACTATAACCACCTCCACCGATGATTAAAGAGGAAAATACAAAGTGTAAGAAAAAAAACTATTTTTAGACTCCAATATGCAAATTTTAAGCAAATAACAAAACAGTAAAACTACAAAGCTACAAGGGAATGGAAAGGGAATTGTTAAAATTAGTTTTTCATGGCTCTGCCGACAAGGAAACTGATTCAGACCACAATGGATTTCCACCCATTACCATAAAACTTCCCTTCCCATAAAACAAATCCATAAACATCTTCCAGTACATTATCAAGGATAACGATATTAAACTACAGGATCGTTTTAAGTGTACCATGAATATTCCAAACCAAACCAAGGACAACAACAGGAAAAAAGGTCATCCTTTTTTGCTAGGGATCAGTTTTACAGCGTCTCCAAGGCAATTGTGTTCTTTCTCTGCTTATCATGTGCCCATTCAAAACAAGATTCGTTCACATAGTTTCCAGTAATGTATACATATGTTGAATACTGTAATTGATTTGCTGCATTCATGAATCAACAAAACCCAAAGAAACAAAATCCCTGAGGCAGTAAACAACAATCGATAAAACCTAATCTGCACATTTCGACAAACAACACATCGCGGATATTGAAAGCTGATAGCAACATCAGAGCTGAGATTTTACCTTATCGACGGAACCCGCCGTAGCGCCGGAGGTTCGAACCCTATCTTCCACCCTCCAACCAGGAGGCAACCAGTTGTTGTCCCCCGGCGCCGCGCGCTTTCGCGTTTTCGATTCCACCGCCGGCTGTGCCGTGTTCTTCGGCGGATCCGCACCGCTCGACATCCCGGATCTAGGAGGGATCGGCTGCCGTTTCACGCCGTGATCTAGGTTTCCGGCGTCAGTTGAGATGTTGGAAGAGATGAAGGATCCAGAGGAGAGAAGAGGATCGGGAGGGAAATCGCCGTGATCGGACGGTGAAGAAGCTGACATGAGAGGATAAAGGACTGAGATTTAGCGGAGACACGGAGCATTTCCTGACTGAATTAATTTGGACCTTCATATAGAGGAAAGGAAAATAACAAACAAATGAAACGCACGAGAGAAGTGACAAAAGAAAATGTCTTCCGTACGCTTAACTCAACCAACCCCATCCTAGTATTATCGAGCCGACTCGAGGTTGACTTCTTTTTATCGAGTCGAATCATAGAATATCTGAATCCGAATAAAAAAATGGGTTGAGTGAGCTATCTCACCACGAACCGAATTCAAACGAGCTAGATCGGTCGGTTCGTGACTTGGTTCGTGAGCTGAAGTAAAAAAAAAAAATTATGTTAAAACTTGAAAATGTTGATATTACTTGATATGATATTTTGATTTGTAGATAATTTTTTTATACATGGATTAAGATCGGAAGATGGTTTTTTGTACAATACTTCTGTGTACTTGATCGTGTTTATTTGAAGATGATTTTTTGTACATAGATTATGATTGTGAATATAAGTATGATTTGGATGTATTGATATGTTCTTTTTATACTGATATATCATTTGGATATGGTTTTGTATAATTTGATATGGTTTTTTAGGTATTTAGAAAAATATGACCCGACTTGCGAGTTAGTCGAAAATTCTTTGGTCCGAATAAAAACGGGTTTAATGAGTTGGACTGAAAATGAGCTGGTGTGGACATCCCTAAGTATTACTGTGTACTGTTTGGATTGGTTATTCGGAACGTTTTAATTTAAGGGGTTTAATTAATTTAACCTATTGTTTCGATTTAATTGGAATATTGTAAAATAATACTAGCATATATCCCGAACTCATTCAAGCCTGGCCGTTGGATATTTTCCAGCGATTAAAGACAAGTGAGCCAATGGAATACAATTAGTCCGGCACTTGGTGGGCCAGCGAGAGATGCCCATTCTAACTTTCGGCTTCAGTGTGGTCCATTTTGCATGGGATTGCGTATAAGAAAAGAGGGGTTTTGCAATAATTCATGGTACGCCAATTTTTCAACAGTATTATTAATTGGTGGGCCTAGTAGGCCCATTTAGTTTCTTGCCTTGAGGTCCAAATCATATTTGCTAAAGTTCATTAAAGAGCCACTTGGTTTGTGGAATCGCGTAAATTTTTGGCATTTCATTATTTATTTTGGTACCTAACACTTGACACCTTCTTTTGTTAATCTAGTAATCTCAAAAACCAAACCACATTTCTTCTCCCTTGCACTCTTATACAAGTAAGTAATATCGAATAAGACAAGACAGAGAATAAGGAAATGGTGTATGTATTGTACTAAATGTATTAGAGAAGCTGTGAAATAGGGCGCCGAATGAACTGGACAAGGAAAAAAACTTTTGGAAGCAAAATTACATAAGAAAACGAGTGAAAAAATAAAATAAAAAACAAACACGCAATATATGAAAACAAACAAACAAAAAACTGTGTCGTTAATTTCTTCTCTCTTTCTGAAATCTTTTGACGTTGTTGTGATATCAAAGAAGATCAGAAGCATTTCCTGTGCACGATCGACGGTCCAGATTCATCGTACTCAGCTTTCGCAATCCACATCTGTAATTTCACCAAGGAGTTTCATTACTCTATAAACTTTACAAATTATACACCGAATCCGTTATAGATCCAAAACCAATAAGATAACTGAATCCCACGTAAAAATGGAATGAGTATAATTTCTTTAAAACCGAAAAAATCAAATAAAAATTAACATAAAGAACTGAAAGTTCTTTTTTTATCAATAAACTTCGAATAAACCGAATTTAACATAAATATGAATGATTGTTTTTTACTAAAACTCAAATAACCGAACCGATACCAAAAAACTAAAAAATTTGAATCGAGTTCAATGTAAAAACTAAATTGTTATAGTTTTTCTAAAACCGAAATATCGAATCTGAACCGGGTTCAACATAAAAACTGAATGGTTGTATTTTGTTTAAAACCGAATAAACGAACTGAAACCAGAAAAAACCGAAAATTTCACATCGAATTCAATATAAAATCTAAATGGTTATAGATTTTGTAAAACCGAAATAATCAAATCCGAGTATAACCGAATCGAAATCCGAAATGACCAGCACTGTTAATACAAGTTGCAAACCATGTGACAAAAGATTAGAAGGATAAGAAGGAAAAGTAAAGTACCTGCTGGAAAGTGCTGAGTGAAGCCAAAATAGAGCCACCGATCCAGACACTGTACTTTCTCTCAGGCGGAGCCACCACCTTTATCTTCATGCTGCTCGGCGCCAAAGCCGTGATCTCTTTGCTCATCCTGTCACCGATTCCTCCGAACATGGTGGTTCCTCCACTCAGCACAATGTTCCCATACAAATCCTTCCTTATATCCACATCACATTTCATGATCGAGTTGTAAGTGGTTTCATGGATTCCAGCAGCTTCCATCCCGATCATCGATGGCTGGAACAGCACTTCAGGGCACCTGAAACGCTCGGCCCCGATGGTGATGACCTGTCCATCCGGAAGCTCGAAGCTTTTCTCCACCGAGGAGCCTGAGTTTGCGGTTTCCAGCTCTTGCTCGTAGTCTAGAGCGATATAGGCGAGCTTTTCTTTCATGTCTCTCACAATCTCGCGTTCAGCCGTGGTGGTGAAGGAATACCCACGTTCGGTCAGGATTTTCATGAGGTAATCAGTGAGGTCACGTCCTGCGAGGTCCAGACGCAGGATTGCGTGTGGAAGAGCATAACCTTCGTAGATGGGAACCGTGTGGCTGACACCATCTCCAGAGTCCAACACAATTCCTGATTCAACAACAATGTGAAAAGCATCGGTTAAAAAAAAAGAATAATTATTGGGATTTCTGTGCGAGCTCTCAGCAGTTTATGCTGAGCGCTAATCATGTACAAGAATCGCGAAATCACAAGCCAGATATCTGTGCCACGAAAGGGGCCCCTGTAGTTGTCATCGTTGGGCATAAAGCTACACAAACTGATTTCGTGCTGGAAAAAAATTCTAAGATGAATCTTGCACAAACTGACCAGTTGTACGGCCACTGGCATACAGGGAGAGAACAGCCTGGATGGCCACATACATGGCTGGGGTATTGAAAGTCTCAAACATGATCTGGGTCATCTTCTCACGGTTGGCCTTTGGATTGAGAGGCGCTTCTGTGAGAAGCACTGGGTGTTCTTCAGGTGCAACACGAAGCTCATTGTAGAAAGTGTGATGCCATATCTTCTCCATGTCATCCCAGTTGTTGACAATACCATGCTCAATTGGGTATTTAAGAGTCAAGATGCCACGCTTAGACTGAGCCTCGTCACCAACGTATGCATCCTTTTGGCCCATTCCAACCATCACACCCGTGTGGCGTGGACGGCCTACAATGCTGGGAAAAACAGCTCTTGGAGCATCGTCACCCGCAAACCCAGCCTACACCAGCGCGTCCACATGAGTAGCATAGAGAGATAACACCGACTTACTCATAATCAATCCTTTTAACATCGACGGAATCTTACCTTGACCATTCCAGTTCCATTATCACAGACAAGAGGCTGGATATCTTCACCATCTGCCATCTTCAATCTGCTGAAACAAAACCAATTACACAACCAATAAAATCAATATAATCATGGTTCCAAAACGAGAAGTAGAAGTCACACGGTAACAATCAAGGGTAGTAGTTTATGCACAACAATTTTTTTTTTTTTTAAAAAAAAACTGCATAGCAAAAGCTAAATGGCAAAGTTTCAAACACAAGTGTCCCGAAATCAAATGCGTTATTGAAAATAGAACAGAGTAGCGTGAAAAAGGAGTTCAAACCAGCCAGATCAATACGATCACCTGATAAATTCCGATAGATCATTCTTACATCCATGTTGTTTTCTTTTTCCCAAACATTTCCCAACGTAATCAAGCAAAACGAGATTAAATAATAAAATTCCGTAAGATTTTCCGAAATCCGTAACATCATTGGATCCTCCTCGCTATTACAGATGATCAAGTATGCTAACAATCAGGAATTAAAAAAAAAAACTACATAAACGATTCCTAACATATCCCGTCTACAGAACCATTCTTACACACGTAATGAAATTTGAAACATCAAATCCGAAAAATCCTTCCACGCGTTTACATTAAAAGTCCACGGAATATTTCGATTTTCCCGGCAACCAAACAGATGGAGAAACAACAGGGAAACAAAAAAATAGCATTCACCTGATGGATTTCCGAAGAGGAAAAAACGATGAACACGACGAGAACGAGAGAGCGGAGAAGAAAGAGCCTTCGGAACCTGAAACGCTCGCTCTTGAAGAAGGATTCAAATTCTTTTGAGGAGCGAACCTTTAACCGAGGCAAAATGAACTTCCCACTGTATCGTGCGAACGACCGAAAATAGATCCCAGCCGTTAGTTTTCTCGGGAGTGCCAAAACCTAAGCAGGTCCCGACACGTGTCCGCCTATTTTTGGTAACAAACTAGCGATGGATGTTGAAAGACGGTTTTACCCTGATTCACTGACAAATATGGGGCCCAATTGTGTTATATTGAGCTTTGGAGTTTATGGGCCTTCGTTCATTTAGACCCTAAACTAACTCCAAATTCTTGAGACTGGAAAAGAGAGAATGGGCCTTAAAGAATGATCTTAATGGGCCGTTGTCAAAGCCCATCCTAGAAGCGATTCCACCATTGGTGGGAGTAGCATAGCAGACATGGATATGTCCGTAGCAGATCCGAGCTTTCCATGTGTTCCCCACTTCCCCTAATGAAACCCCGATATCGAAAATCTCCCATTCCGATCTTCTGAACCTTCTATCTATATACAACCTCCGTTGTCGGCTCTCTCTCTCTCTCTCGCTCTCTATCTCTATTTCTGGGATCACTGGAAGGTTCTGCTGAATTCCTCATCATCTGCAGACTGCAATGGCTTCCCAAGCGAGCCTTCTTCTTCAGAAGCAGCTCAAAGGTACACTCAGAAACCCTCGTTTTTTGTTGCGACAAATCTGTTCGGTTCGAATTCCTTGGAGGTGTGGTGCTTTCCGAGTTTTGATTGGATTTTGTCGTCTCTGGGTCTGGGTTTTGTTTCAGATCTCTGTAAGCATCCGGTTGATGGATTTTCTGCTGGATTGGTTGATGAGAACAATATATTCGAATGGAGCGTTACGATTATCGGACCGCCCGACACACTCTAGTAAGTTCTCACGGTTCTCCTTGATCCTAGATCTCGTTGCTTTCGTCAGAAATCTCTGTTTGTGTCGTCTAATCAATAATCATCGATGATTCATGTGTGATGAATTGAACAAGGGGGATTTCCCGGGAAAATCCTGTTGATTTGTCGGACGAGCATTGGCTCAATGAATGATGCTTGATTTATCTCATTGCTGATGCTGCTGCGATTCGATCATTATAGAATTTCTGGTTCCTCTTCTGGATTTCACCAGTTTCGGGTTTAGTCTTTCTCTACATGTATTCGCATGTAGTTTATGTTATGAATTGTGATGTTCCGACATTGCAGCAGTGTGTTCCTGAGATGTTATTCTATCAGATTCTTTATCATTTTTCTCAGCTGTTTTCCCTTTTTGGCTATTCGTATCCACTTGATTGCAACAGCTAGGAAGGAATAAAACAAGCCATTGCCTTGATGCTTGCATCATTGCGAGTGAAATTAGACATTCTTTGGTATTTATCACTAACAAAAATATTGTTTCTTGAACACAGTGAAGGAGGATTCTTCAATGCCACAATGAAATTCCCAGAAAACTATCCGAATAGCCCACCAACTGTGAGGTTTACCTCAGAGGTTTGGCATCCAAATGGTTAGTCCATTCTCTCAGACCCTAACCTTATTTAGGATAAGAATATAAACGTCGCCATATTTCCACTCCTTTTCTGTTATTGAATCGCTAAGGTTTGTGAAAATGGTTTATTCGTGCATGCAGTTTACCCTGATGGCCGTGTTTGTATATCCATTCTCCATCCCCCTGGCGATGATCCAAGTGGATATGAGCTTGCAAGTGAGCGTTGGATGCCTGTTCACACAGTATGTGATCACTATTAACCCAGTTTTATCTGTGTTTATATCTGGGGTTTTCATCAAAGTGAAACTTCAAACTCGGTTTATTGCTATTAGATTTTCTGAAATTAGATTTATTTACTCTTATGGGCGCTAAAAAATATCAGGTGGGTGATATGCTTTCATTTTGCTTATGTTGAATAGGGTGTATTATATTCTTACTCCACTGCATAAAAACTGTGCTGTTTCAGGTTGAGAGTATTGTCCTGAGTATCATATCAATGCTTTCCAGTCCTAACGATGAATCCCCGGCCAATGTTGAAGCAGCTGTGAGTCATTCTATTCGCTAGCTCTATTGAACTCTCGCTTGATCCAAAAATGCCAATGCTGGTGCCATAAGAGTCCAATATGTTGTACCAGAAGTAGAACTTGCTCATCAATCATTCGGGTTTTCTTCTTTCGTCCTTTGTTTATGCAGAAAGAATGGAGAGATAAGAGAGACGAGTTTAAGAAGAAAGTGAGCCGATGCGTCAGAAAGTCTCAAGAACTGCTATGATCATTAGGGCTTCACCTCCAAGTTCTCAGGTGTTCCAACTTCATTATATCCTTGTCTGAAACCCCTTCGAATTGCCCAAACGCTGCTTGTAATAACTCAATCTTACATCTTATCCCGTTCCAAGAATCAGTCTTTGGTGAAAAAATGTTGTTTCCTGAGAAACAGATCTTTAAAGGGATTATCATAAGCTTTCTGGTGAAAAGCTCCGTTTTCCTTTCCTTTTTTTTAGGCATTTCAAGCTCTCCGGCGGAGATTTCAGGAGTGTCCATTTGGGGTTTTTGAATTTTGATTTTGGTTCGATTTGGTTATATTCAGTTTTAAAATCTATAATTATTTAGTTTTTTTTACACAATTTATAACCATTTGATTTGGTTCAGTTACATTATATATTATTCGATTTTAATCGGTTTACGCAGTTGTTGGCCGAATTAATCACTCTTAAAATCGGTTCAGTTACCAACCAAATTAGAAGAGACATTTTGTTGTTTCGTGATTTAAGATGTTTGCTGTTGTTTTGGTTTTAGACGCTAGAACTGCGTGCCGTCTCTGAGCTCCCGAAACAACATCAAATGATTTCTACTGGGCCAACAATTAAAAAAACACCCCATCCCTTCTCAAAATGAGATAATACTCATCTTTGTAGTTTTGTTTTGTGTCAGCGGTCGTTTCAGACACACACACATGCATCGTATTATTGTGTTTTGTTGAAGATTGGGGGGGGGGGGGGG